GTGTGTGTGTGTGTGTGTGTGTGTGTGTGTGTGTGTGTACAGCTGTATTGCCCTGAGGAAAGCAAGAGCTGAATTATTTACTTAGTGCTAAAGATGCTCTTTTGAACATACTTGGTTTCAAATGCAGTGAAGTAATCAAATTTAACGTGCTATATTCTTTAGGGTATCGGCAGACAAAACAATTGCACTGCTGATCTGCTGTAGCTGGTTTGCATGTCTGCTCAGTTATGTGATAAGTGAGGACAGCAAATCCTGGTCATCTAGTTGCTTCATTCAGAAATTAAGTCACCTGTTTAGTTTCTGCTAGCTGTCTTGTCAAGCTCATGGTTTCTCAGTTTCCTACAGACAAATCAATTTTTAATGAATTTTTATGGACAAGCATTATTAGCCTCTTTTTTTTTTCTTCAGACGATTGCGGTGTTGGTATCTCATCAACTCTTTTTATGAGGGCCCCTCATTTGTAAGGTGTTGAATAAAACAATTTTTTATTTATTTTGGGGGGGGTTGTTTTTGGGGTTTTTTTAAATGCAGGTCAGGTTGCTTGTCCACAGAGTGGTCAATCTGAACTATCAGCTGATAAAACTGGCCAAGAAGCCTTCAGCCAGACCTCCTTGAAATCTATGTTGGTGATAAGTGGAGGAGAGGGATATATCGACTTCAGGATGGGTAAGAGACTTGGTCTCACAAAATGTTTTTGTTTTGTATATGGCTCTGTTGTTCTACATTATAATCTGATTAATGACTTGCTGTAGCTTCTTATTAAAAGATAAATGTAACATCAGATATTAAAGACAGAGAAAATGTCTCCATGTATGTGGATTTATCTGGATAAATGCAGTTATGTGGAATGAATGCAGACAAGCCATGGTTACTAACAAAGTAAGTTGTTAGATGAGTATCTTGGTATCCAGAAGGCTTTGGACCATCAAGCCTTCACACATACTCAGTCAATACTATGAATTTCTAGGTATGAATGCTTCAGTCTGTGCCATCTCTGCAGCATAGCCACCTCTGGATTAAAGCCCTTTATGTAAGCTGAGGATGGTAACTACATGAGTGGGTGTATGTGGAAAGTGTTTTCTGTAATGACTTTGAACTGGGACATGGAAAAGAGGAGGTGGATAAACCAAAAAAATTCAGTTAAGATGCTTTGTCCAAGCAGCATGCAAATGTTCCTGAAGCCTGGTTTTCCTAGCTCCCAGGCTTTTTTTTTATTGTCTTACGCTGTGAGACCATGTACCTTGAACTTAATTTACCTTTGTTGTAATTTTGGGTTTTTACATATTCCATAAATCTTTAGGAAATTTTATGACCACGTTCAATCTGATCTGTCAGCAAAGGAGGGTGCTAGGATCTATGCACATTAGGGTGGCCATCATAGAGGATAGTCCGGTTGTCCTCTGTCCCCTATTGATACGAAACCAGACACCTTTGTGTCTTGAAGAGAAAAATAGAGGACATAAAGACGTCTGGTTTTGTATCGATAGAGGACAGAGTAGCAGAAAACTGGAATGTCTTCTACGATGGCCACCGTAATGCGCATACTGTTTTTCATGCAAAAGTTTTTGCTGGCCCGTCTCTTTTCCAGTAACTGGCTTGCACTGATTCAACCAGTAAGGAAGTGGCATCTGTTATAAAGAAAGAGTTATCAACATTAAAAGCTTTAGGGAAAGAAATACATGAATTGAGTAATAGTTTAGAATCCTTCATGTTCTTTCCTCAGTTTAATAGATGGGTATCTGTGGCAGCCCAGCCAACAGCATGCAACACTTTCACCTAATCAAGATTATAACGACACGTCAGAGTAAGACATTACAGTTTCAGAGCTGTAAGTTAGAGGTCACCGAGGGGGGGAAAAAAAATGGGGCTGATAAACTAATCACATGATGGATGGGTCTTATTTAGGCCACTTCATCTTCCGGCAACTTCATATACCTCAGATAACAAGAAGAATGTCACAGTCCAGGGAGACGCGCACCAATTCTGACATTCCACTATCTGGTGAAAAACAGGAATGTCTGACTGAGGCTTAAGCTGAGAATAAGCAGTATTTGGTTTCCTCCGTCATGGTTTGCCTTAAGTAGTTTAGCTTTAGAACTGCCCAGTTGTTTCAAATTATTCTGCTTTCGCTCTGATCCCACACCAGGATGCATTGAAACGCGTCTGTAGCTTCAACATAATAACAGTGCAAGCTCTGGGTGATGGGGCCCTCTTGGTGCATGCTGCTCTGTACAGACTTTCTCCTAAACTGGGAGCAGTGTGCTGTGTGGGTGGGTTAATTAGTACTGCCTGCCAAGGTAGGCTCCATTTTGTAGTCAGATGCTATAGGGGGCTACTTCTCTAGTCTTGTCTTCTTGCAGAGACCTGGTTCAGGTCACAAGCAGTCTAGATTCAGCCTGCACTCATCCATACAACAAAATCACCATTTGTTTTGACCTTGTTAATCTCTGTTCAAGAGCAGTGATGCAGGTTTGGCTGGAAGCAGAGCCATTTGACTAGGGAGTAGGTAATGTGAAGAAGTTGGAGCAAATAACAAGGACAGGAGCACAGAGCAGACTAAGCATTGCAGCTACTGTACAAGTTCCCTTAACACTTTGCGATGAGCATTTGCATTCAGTTAGCACTTGTTTTTCAGACAAGCGCTTTCTTGTCAGTGTTTGGCTTGCATGCATGTGCAAGGTCTTCCTTGCCGTTTCATGAATGGTACCATCTCTTCTGCTGCTTGGGAGACATGCAGGACTTTATCAAAAAGTTGCTGAAAGTCCAGATACTGTTTGATCAACTGGATCACCTTGATCCACATGTTTATAGATGCCCTCCATAATGATTGGCGAGGCCTTTACAGAAGCCATGTTGGCTGTTCCCCAGCAAGTCCAGCTCAGCCATATAATGGACATTCCTATTTTTATAATAGTTTCTGCCCATTTGCCAGGAAGAGAAGTTGGGATCACTGGCGTGCACTTCCTCGGAGCCCTTTTACCCACTAGTTCTTTGGCACGGAGGCTATTTTTAACAGTAGGTTACATGCTAATTTAAATAGGTCTGTAATTTTGAGCTTGAGGTCCTTCAGGACCCTTAGGCAATTACTATCTGGTCCTGGTGATTTACCATAGTTTAATCCATTTCTGCTGCAACCACTTCTACCAGCACCTCAGTTTGAGTGGCTTCTACTGATTTGTCCCCTGGAAGAAGCAGCTCTGGTATTGGAAACCTCAATTCATTGCCTTTCAGATGTTTGTTAAGGAGTCTGATTCTGTTATAGGTAGGAGTGTAGATGGCAACTGCTGTTTCTTGATGTATCCTCTTATGTAATCACGTGGAATGGGTCCCTCCAGCCCTTCTCTGTGTATAGTGCTAATGCCATGGTTTACGTTCACTGTTCTCCAACTGAATCTAAGCTGTGTTTCCTCAGGTGATGAAGGTGGCGAATCTGAACTCCTCGGAGAGGCTCTACAACTTGAACCTTCTGTAGCCAAAGCTGAGAGGAGTCACTTGATAGTGTGGCAAGTCATGTACGGCAGCGAGTGAGCCCGCTCAGAAGCAGCTGGAGACCGCGAAAAAATTCTGCATGTTTTTTTGTTTTATTTTTGTGGAACCTGTTTCACGCCACGATGTTGGAGCATTTCTTTTGCTGTTTAACTTTATATCGCAATTCTGTCAGACCTTAACTATACAGGAATTAGCTTGTGCTGTTTTACTGCACCAGTGTTCCCTAGGTCAGTATAATGAAGTCCAAGAACGTTTCCGTTCCCAGAACGTGTGCATCATAGGAGGCAATCCAGACGCAGTTCACTGGATCACAACCATCTAATCGGCTCACTTTCTTGATAGTTTCACTTCTGTCCATTGAGAGAAACTTCATTACAGCTCAGCTTGATTTCTGAAACATTGAGTAAAACAGCAAAGTTATTCCCTCGGCATTATAAAATTACCCAGCCTAATGTCAGGTGAATTGTTGTGATTCATCCAGGCAGACATGCAGTGAGGGCTAAAATAACTGTACACTTTCACTTTCTTTGTCAAACCCGACTAATCTCATTTATAGTGGTCTACAGTTTTGTTTGCCATCTTCATCAAGATTCCTGGGGAAAGAGGAGATTGTAAAGAACTGAATGATACTGAAATAAAAATGTAAGGTTTTGTTTGCTGGAGAATTCTAACATTAAAGAGCTGCTGCCTTCAACAGGCTTTTTCCATTCTCCTACCATGGATGCTTGTCACATCTCAGTGACTCTTTTTTTGGATTTTTTTTCCAAAGGACATTCTTAGATGTTGAGATTTATTTTAAAATTGGAAATAAGTTGTAAAATCCGTGAGCAGGAGATGTGGGTTCTCCCCTTCGTGTCTTGAATCCATATATATCCTAAACCCCAGGAGTAATCTTCTCTGCCTGGTCAGACTCATGAGGCACTATGTAGTTGTGGAGGTTACAGACCTCAATTAGAGCTAGAGAAATGATTGACACACGCACAGGGAAATCTGTTTGGCCCTAGTGAGATTGAAGAAGAACTTTGGCTCTATGTAATTGGGCACAAAATGTGTATGTTTTAGTTTTCATACCCCTATTTAGGCAGTGAACTACTGCTAGTTAGCGGGAAGACTGCCGCAGCAGATGAAATAACACTGTAAGACTGAATAAATTGACAAAAGCCGGGAGAGTCTAAAATCAAGGCTGACACTCTCTCTACTCACTATAGTGCGAGTGTAAGATCATACGTCTTCCTTTTACTTTGAATCTCCTGCATTGATATCAGAACTTTATATTTATTTCTTTCAGATGTGTAATATTTATCCAGTTTGTCCCTTAACTTAGTCTCTGGGAAGTACAAGTTTAGGAAGCCTTTTTAAACAAATATTTACATGTACCCCTAAGTGATTGGGACTGTTCCTGACAGATTAGTAGAGAAATGAACAACCTGACAGTGAGAGACTGGAATAGTTGCAGAGGAGTAAATATTAGAAACACTTTTTTTAAAACTGCCTAAACATTTTTATGCAATAGGAGCAGTTCTGGTCTATCAGGCAAACATGTGTTTATATATTTTCTTAATTTTTTTAAATGAACACATTTAGCTGAGGTCTATTGTGTAAATATATATTTAGGCAGCTTTTTCAAATGCATATCATATTTGATAAGCCAGAAAAACTCCATTCAGGTCTATTGGTTAGATTTATATGTATAAATACTTTTTAAGCAGCATATTTTGTACATGGCTGTTCCTTGCGTAAATATGTATTTAGGACATGAACTATGTAGTAAAATCCTTATGAAAAATGTCTAATATCTTGCTAGTATTTTTCTCTTCAGGATGCCAAAAGTGGTGAGAGCATGTTCACAAATGAATTTCCCAATTTTCATCTTTAAAAATCACTCTTAAATTGCTTTGGCTTAAAGCTAAAACCTGGGAACTTTTTAAAAAAGTGATACAAGTACATAAAATCAAGCATTGTTATAAAAACTTATTTTAAATATATATAGATTTGTATGCTGAACTTCAAGCACATTTTTGAGTTATAACTCGTGAAATTGGGTGTCTGAGAAAAACGTTGACTAAACTGTAATGGTAGTGCAAAATGCATCACTGAGTGGTGCAGTTTTATTACTCCTGCTGTCTTTCCATTTGAGTTTAACACACTGGCCATTTGAAAACTGTCTCCAAAGCTTTGCTCACCAGTGGCTTGTCACACTCATGGTCTCAGAAGAAAAAAAAACCTGCGCAATTCTGTTCCCTGGATCTTTATTCTAGTATTTGATTTGTAATTATTAGTGAGCTGTTTCTCTAAACTGCTTGACTGCTGTCAAATAGAGCAGACGTGTCTGGCAAGTGCTTACCTAGTCTTTTGCCAAATGTATCTGGTACACTGTGTCATTCCAGTTGCTTCAACGGACCAGCTCTTGCAGGTGTTTACAGAGACGGAAATGTTTCTGTCCAGTAGTGGAGGGGTTTTGAAGAAAACACTAGCTATAATTCTAGTACCACTGTGGGTATAGACAAGGGGTTTGTGCACTACCCTGCATTGAGTCATTTCAAGTTTTCTCCCCCGTCCTAAAGGGTAGTAGGTGTTGGAGATGTGTATTTCTCATCACAGTGCACTGGGATTTATAAACTCCCTGCTCCGGGTCACTTTGAAGGGTGGGTAAAGCACGTCAAAACCATATATCGAGATGTCAATATCCTCCTGAAAACCCAAGTCTCAAGAATGTGTTTATGCATCACGCTCATGTGGTTTAAGCATCATATAAATAGGAATGAAGCTCTTGATAGTTACAGCTTGTTAATCGTTTGAAAACATTTCGAGCACAAAAAATATGCAGCACATTACTTGTCTGGATAAGTGTGTTTGCATGGTAAAGGTAAAATGAATTATATAAGCTGCTGTATTGTTCATTTCTTGTCAAGGTCTTCCTGCATTGGATCAGATAGAGCTGGCAGAGTGTAGACACTTTATCATAGGCTGCCTTAGTAACGAACACATGTTAAATCTGTTTTATTATACTAACTGTTCTAAAGAACGTGTGTCTTTTTAAAATGCTGTGTAACTGAATATTTATTTCCATGTGAGTATTATAAAAGTTACCAAAGGATTAAACCTGACTTAGCACTCTTGTAAGTGACCCTGTCGAGGTGGGGGTCTTACAAAGACCCTCTTCTGTAAAATGAGACACAGTCAACTAAATACAGCTCTTGGTGAAGTTAAATGGGTTTTTCTAACAGGGTTATGCCATATTGTAACAACCTATGTTGCACCTCAAAGCATTTTTTTCTATACACTAAACGTCGCTCCTTCCCTCTAACAAAATTAAGTTTCCTTTATTTTGTTGCACATTTCTCAACCTTTTAAATCTATTTTAAACATTTTATGGTCTGTAATTTTTTGGAAGTTTTTTTTGTCTGTTAGACACTTTACGCTGAATTTTACTCGCCTCTGTAACCCGAGATGGATACTACAGCGTTAAACTTGCTGTCTGTTAAAACTTGAGGCTTCTTTTCTGTGAGCAGGAAGCTCATATAGCAGTGTAGTTATTTCAGTATTTATTTCTATTATTGAATCCTTGGGGTTCAGAATGTAACTTTGTACATGAAATATATATAAATATGTATATGAAACATGCATTTGGTGTGGTGCGTTTCCTTTGCAGTCTCACTCTGAGTATATGTGGTCATTGTTGCCACAGGTACCAGATGAGAGAGTTCTGAATTGACGGTTGAATGTTCGGTACAATCCAGAGGTGTGGAAAAAGTGGAATATCTGCTGCTGCCAAAATCCATTGTCCCTCCCTGCTTCTCCCACAGCTGGGGAGCTAGAGAGGAAACTGGAATTTCTCACTGATGCATTTTGATAGTTCTGGCAGGGACCATTCTTGCCCCCTCCACAGCCCCTCAGTGGAATGGATTTGAGTTCATTCATAAAGTTCATACTTCTGAAAGGGGCTTATCTGTATCAACATGCACCTAATCATATCGGCTAGTGTTTTCCCCTGCACTAGTGACCACAGCTCCCTCAGCTGCTGTCATGCGTGTCCTGGGTTATCTCTGGAGGAATGGGGATGGTGTCTGTGTGAACAGTTGATTTATGTTCTTGGAGCCAGTAGAGCAGTCTGCCCCCAATCTCAAAAGGCCAGTGGCCCCACTGAGCCAGCTGTATTTAAAAGTTTGGAGGGTAGAGTCAGTACCTTGAATTGCATCTAGAACTGGGTTATGATGAGCGCAGGGTGTAAAGCCCAGGTTCAATGACTTTATCTTCCTGTACTCAGCACAGCCCTAGAAGCCTGCAGACTTTGGATGGCTATCGCGTTGCTGCCGCGGTAACTCAAACATGCATCGTTCACTTCTCTCAGGTGAGACCAACTCAGGTGAGAGCAGCCCGGCTGCAATAAACTGAGCTTAAAGAGTGTTTAGCAGCTTGAGTCTCTTCACTTGAGCTGTAACCACATCCTTAGGAGGCCGGCCAGTGGGGGTTAGTAACACGAGCAAAAGTTTCCTCTGTGTGGACAGGGTTCAAGTTAACTGCGCAGTCGAGATGCAGAGCTCAAATAGAGCCAGTTGCAGTCATTTTACCTTGATCTAACTTCTACCAAATACATTTCTCACTCGTTTCTCCCCATGTTTGCATTCCTTGCAGCTCTTCAAAGAGCCTGTTAATATTGTCAGTCCTGCTTTTTTTTGTGGCACTGAAGTTGCAGCTTCTTTCCCTGCTTGCACTGTGTGTATCAAGGAAGCTTTTGATTTTACCCTGGACTTACTCAGTGGAGAGATTACAACCAGCTTACATTGACACTGATATCCAAGTCTTGCCTTTATGGCTTATGGTGTCCCTGGTCCAACTCCCTCTCCCCTCTTTCCCCCGCTACCTCCAATTCCTCCCCATTTTTTTTAACAATCTTTTTACTGCCTTATTCACTTCTACTCATAGCTTAAATTAAAAAAAAAAATAGCTGGCTCTGTTTCCAGTCAAATATCAACCTATGATTCACATGCAAAGAATCTAGAGGATTTCCACCTCTGACTGCAACTCGGTTGAAATGATTACTGGCACTGACTGTGTTTTTCTGAGGTCTCTTGTCCATCTTGGCAAAGCATCTGACTTGCAGTCTTTCAAGCCAAGTCAAGCTGTTAGCCCATATGCAGAAAAGGATCTGTACTGAATTCTAAGGTCGATAGGAGGGAGAAGACAATGCCAAGAGATTCATTCTTGATGCATGAACAAAATGCCCGGTTAGAGTCGGGTCCCAATGTTTCCTGGCTCGTCTGCTTCTACGTAGCCCCATCTGTTATGAGAGATGTAGCTTAATTAGTTCGTAGCAAATGGCTGCAGCAGTGAAGTCAGTCTTCATGTCTTTTTAAACCATTCTGTGTTAACTCCTTTCTCATACATTGAGAATCTCTCTCAAATGTCACGGGCCAAGCAGCAGAGTGGAAGACCTAAAACCAGTTGTATCATTCAGCCCCATTTTCCTGCTGATGAAAGTTACAGATGGGGTACAATACAGCTTGGCACCAGCCCTCCTCCAGCTGACATAGCAACTGCCTTCTCATATTGAAGATGCACATTTCACAGTAGATGCTTTGAAATGCTATGGAAGCAGCATTGTCAGTAAACCTCCTGCTGCTGCCATCGGGGGGATAAAGCCACTTGTACCTTAGCCACTTTTTTTTTTTTAGTATAGTAATTCTGTGCTGAAGTGTATGCGAGAGCCCACAGCTGTGAGAATTAAATACTCTGCTACCATCCTTTTATAATAACTTGGGTGCATCTTGGAACTGCCCCTTGTTGATGAGCTTCCCTTTAAAATCTGTCTCTCTTCTTTTTTTTAATTGAGCCAATTACTTGGAACAAGGAGGAAAGAAGCCAGGAAGATTCGGATCCTGGTTTACCAAAATATGTGGGAAGGTTCTGAAAGATCGCTGCATATATTGGTGGTTGCTCGTTCCTGTCCTGCCCTGCGAGAGAGAGAGAGAGGAAGTAAGAAGGATAGTAAAAAAAAAAAAAAAACGGATTTCAAACTGTGACCCTTGAAGTGGTGTTATGTGGGCCCATGCTCCTTTCAGCAGAACCTGTGTTAAAGCAGGAGAGGAAAAGCTGGTGAGGCCAACTGGCTTTTCAAAAGTGGCCCTGGGTCCTGGGTGGAATTGTGTGCTGGTTAGTGTCTGGGGTGCACACTTAAGCTGGAGGCCCTGTTGGATGCACGTGAGGAGCGAACCTCTCATCATGAGCTCAATGTTTTACCATTTCCCTGCGACTTGCAAAAAGTGCCTTGTACCACTTCATTACAGGGTAGATTATTTCTTCAGTTTTTCCTGGAGAGTTTTGGGCAAGTCAGCTTGAGAGCAATGGGGTTTGAACACTTCCAACTGTCTGTTTTACAAACATTTCTTACCAGCTTTCTGGGTTTTTCTCTGAAACACTTACAGCAGGTTTCCTTTTTCCTGCAGTGCTCATTCGGGTGCAAGCAAGACCACTTCTGAATTGGCTGCGATGCATGCCATGAAAACCACAGCACAACAGCATGCATTTAATAGGTGTGTTGCTGTCCAGAATCATTGTGGGATTTGCCTCCAGGAACGTCTGAGCTCTCCTCGTGGCTCCGGCAGATACGGAATGAGTGACCTTAGGTAAGTAACTTCTGACTTTCCAGTTTCTACCTTGAGAAAAGGAGGGATAATCACCAAATTCCCAGGGGTGATGGTAGTTGAACTAATTAGAATATTTTTAAGGAAGAGAAGACGGGATTTTTAAGCCAGTGGGAACACCCAGCTATTCCAATGACAGATGGTAATGACATGAAAGGAGCCCTCCGAGCCTATGTCACTGAAGCGGGTTTTAAGATGGGCTGATTGTCATAAGTAAGGCCTGGTCTTAGAGGAACGTGCCTCCTTTCACAGCAAGCTGCAGCAGGGTCCTGCATCTACAAAACTGACCGCAGCGTTTGTCAGGCGGAGGATTCCCCTGACATTCACGGCTGGTTGAGATGTACCTGGACGAGGCAGCCGGCTCACTCCACTGCCTGGCCTGGCTTGTTACAATTAGGTGTGGTCATAATTATTTTTAACTAAGGGAAAGCAAGCAAACTATTTCCAGCCAGTGAAGGCTCGGACAGGAAGGCTGTTTCCTGCTTTTCACAGTATTTATAATGTGGTAGGGAGGGAAGAGAGCAGTTCATGAACGGTGACACTAATTATGGGTAACTACACCCGGCACTGGTTCAAAGTGTATATCCAGAACATCCCCAGGTATTGAAACCTCATTATCCAACTGGCAACTTTATTTTACTAACTTGTCCCTGTTGGTATTGTGCACTATTCTCGCCGAAGCTTTGTTTAATACAACACCCTCTGTCTCGACTGTAAAGTTTGATACAGTAGCTCATAACTTTTGGCACTGTTGTAACACTCTTCTATAGTTCACACTCTCCACTGTTCAGTTTGGTACAGTTTTACTTTATGCATCATGTCAGCATGTGTAATTCCTCACAAGTCTCATGTATCTGAACCAATTTAGGTATCCCAATGGCTTTTTTGGTACGTGTGCTTTCCAGAGAGGGTTGCATAAAAAAGCCTATACTGTATAAAATCCTCTTGGGGTCGGGCTGAAGGGCTGTTTTGTATTTTGACCGCAAGATGGCACCGTTACAACTTCAGAGACCATGCAGAGGGACAAAAGGAAAACATTTTTTTGGTGCAGTGTTATTTCCCCTCCCTTGCTGACCATTTCCCTCTGTAAAGTTTCAGGTGATAGGGTTCATCTAACCATCTGTGTGCTGAGATTGTTCTGTCAGCATGGTGCATGGTGAGCAAACATATGAAAAGGAAATGCTTTGCCCTCCTTGCAGGGCTCAGAAAATAATTCTCCCTGTGTGTACAGCCCTGTGTGGTTGGCTAGAGGCAGTATGGCTATTTGCCTGCATTCACATCACCTCTGTAGGCAGCCTGGCAAATGCAACAGACTGGTGCTTTGTATAGCAATAACAATAAGTGCACGTTACCAGAGACTTGGAGTTGATACATCTTTGGGCTGGGCCACGTCAGTCCATCACACTGGCTGCTGAGAGATGGGCCACTGAAGATATTGGGGAAGGTCATGCCACCATGTCATCTCTCTTCACTGGCTAGGAATACTTTTTGATTATTTTTTTTCTGGGTCTGTAGGACTAATTGTCCTGCTAGGTCCAACTGACCCATGTGGAGAGGGTGAAAGAGCTTGGATGCCACTTGAGCCCCCCATATATAGTATAAAGGGGGAGGAGGGTAAGTTGGGATGTAGCTTTTGAAATGGCCTAGGGCGCAGGGGAGAATTTCACCCTTGGAAAAGCATCCTCCTCCCTATTTCTCTGCTTCCTTCCTACACCAGTTCTGCATGTGAGAAGGATGAAAGTGAGCAGCCAGAGTGAGAGGACTAGACTTTTGCAGTAAATCATTGCACACCTCACCTGATGGGCTGTACGGGGCATTTCATATTTGTTTGCACAAAGTAGAAGTTTAAAATGGCTCTGGCCTGAAGTGCCGGGTGCCCGGATTCTAGTGCTGGAGAAACAGTGTCAGTCTGGAGTGGCTCATTAGGAGGGTAGAGAATTGACGGCTAGGAAAGGTGGGGTTACAACAGAAAATTGGCCA